TCGATCACACATAACAGTGAGATTCCCTGCTACCCATTTGTACCTCCACACAACCCGGCTCAGAGCAGCCGGGTCTCAGGGCTGAAGAGCCCCAGGTGGCTAGCCGCTGTTAGGGCCGCTGTCAGGGCCACTGTCACCTGCTTTCTCAGATCCTCCAGGGACTCGATGGACCCAAGATACAGAGATCAGTAACAGTGAGCAGCCTGGAGAGCGGAAGGCATTGTCTTGGAGAGCAGCGCAGGCTCGACCTGTTTCCCCGTAGGAGCAATGGCTGCACCGCTGCGGGAAAGAGTACAGGGCTGGAGAGACCCCTGTGTCCACCGTCCGAAGAAGGGGTGCCCCCAAGACAGCAGGGCAGCTCTGGGCTCTTGAACAGCTCCGCAGAGGGAACAGGGAACCTTACCAATGTGCTGAGCTGTTGGAGCCAAAGGCAGCCAAGAAGCTCCCACACATGACACTATTTATGTGGCATCTGACAACTAGCAAGGCGACACAGTGATGGGCCAGTACCCACGTAACTCAGAGTTTTTTTAAAAAAACCCAGATCATAGCAAGCACTTAACTTGGCCCGGTGTCCCGTCTGGGAGGGAAGGCAAGGATCTGTACAAGAGGGGTCCAGCTCCATTTGGAAAGTCCTGTTTCCTAATCGGGAGGCCAACCTGGCGCTCGTTACATGCTGAGAGGCACCTCGCGGTGGTCATGTCCAAGACATTTTTCTAGGTGGGGAATCGTAACCAGGTTGGGGCTGGGTGCACACTGCTGGCGCTGGAGGCCTTAAGGACTGGGTGTGGCCTGTCTGGGCTTCAGGAAGTAAGAGTTCCTGTGCCACAGGGATGATGAGGGTGGACCTGCAGATGGCCCTGCAGCCCCACGACCCCCCAGCAGGGGCTGGCCCGCAGCGGAGACACAGTGGCCAGCGATCATGATCCCTATCTGGGGCTGAGGTCCGTGTTTTCTCCCATCTGCATTCAGCGAAAGGGACATCGCAACGCCCTGAAGAGGAAAGAGCACCGGAGGCCGCGCTCTCCTTGCAGAGCGGGGGCGGGCAGCAGGGAGAGGGTGGGAGGCCAAGGTCTGTTTGCTAGTTCACAGCCTCATCTGCTTCAGACAAGGCAAATCAGTGTGCAGTTACGGTTTCTTTTCTGTCTCTTTTGACCCAAGGATGAGATGGGAGGGAGGCTGGGGGGTTAAGTTGTCAACAGTGCAGTCTTTGAGGGTGAATCATCATCATCATCATGATTTGTTATTATTGTTGTTGTTATTACTATTATTATTGTGGTGGTGGTGGGATGGCAACCAGGGCCTTGTGCATGCTAGGCAAGTGCTCTTCCACTGAGCTGCACCCCCAGCCCTAAACTAATTTTTGTGGGCTCTTTCAGTATGTTTTATTCATTAAATTTGATTGAAAAAAGTGGTATATGATAAATAGTCGGTATCATCCATAAAACACATACCTTGGTTTACTGAGTTTCACATACAATGTGTGCAGCATATACAGTCTCCAACATGATCGCATCGGGTATTTTATTCGAGGCGTGGTGCATCATAGCTATCCAGGGTTTCTCTAACAGTCCAGCTCTGGTGGGAGCGCGAGGGCCGGGTGCCACGGAGAGCAAGCTGAGGCGGGAGGCAGTGGGCATGCTCACTCAGCCAGGAGGAGACAAAGTCAGGGGAGGGTGGCAGGGAGCCCTTGGGAGCTGTGGGTCGCCTGACTGGAGGGGGGAGGCCCGACACCCAGAGGCCAGATTTAAAAAGGGGTGTGCCCTGGGGCCAGGCCTGGAACCTCCCCCAGCCACACCTGCGTGCTGAGGTCACTCGGGGTGACCCCTTGGAGTGGTGGAGTGGGTTGCTAAATGGGGAGGTGCAAAGCTCCCTGGATCATCAGTGAGCCTCTGGGGGAGGGCTGGAGGCCCAAGTGTCCCTCTCCCACTCCTCCCCGGGGCCCAGGTGGCAGCTCTGCAGACTGACCTTTCGGCTCTAGCACGGCAGCTGCCCCGGGAGCCCAGTAGCCCCAGCTCCAGGGCAGCCGACACAAACCCTGCGTGGGGACCTGGAGTCTGTCCTCAGATGCTGTCCAGGCAGGGACGAGAGCAGCCAGGAGACTCCAAGCCTCCTGTTCCGGCTCTGCCCCTTGCTGGCTGCATCTTTGTGGCCAGTGACTGCTTCTCCAGGGCCCCCTGGAGTCTTACTGGGGGGACTCCGCCAAGTCTTGGATGAGTAAGAAAAAGGGAGCAGGACCTCGGCCTGTTATCAAGAGCGTCAGTCACCACCCTATTGTTCTGCACTTTTCAGCAGCCACACAAGCTCAGGGAAAAGCAAATACCACAAAAACTCCCTGAAAGCCGTAGGACATGGCTTCCGAGTAACTCACCCAGGTCAAGGTCTTTGGGGGCAAACTGGGAGAAATCCACCTGACCAGCTGCTGGCTGATTCTACAGACCTGCTGTCCGGTGCTGAGGTGCGATCACCATAATCTATGTGCACCTGGTGCCTGGGCACCATTTCTCCTGACATTTGTAGTTTATTTTATAACTTTTAGCTTCTTATTTATTTATTTTTTATTTTTTTTTTACTTTTAGCTTCTTATGAAGGAAAATTCTAAGTATAAGCAAAAATAGAAAAGAAAGGAGTCACACGAGACCCCCTCCAGCAGCATGCCCTGTCTCCCCCCCACCACCACCACTGGGAGGGGGGCTTAAATAATCTGCTACAGGATTTATTTGTCTGTTTGTTTGTTTGTTTTTACCAGGGAGTGAACCCAGGAGCACTTACCACTGAGCAACATCATCAGCCCTTTTTAATTGACAAGGTCTTGCCAAGTGGCTTAGGGCCTGGCTCAGTAGCTGAGGCTAGCCTCTAACTTGCCATCCTCCTGCCTCATCCTCTGGAGCCCTGGGATGATAGGTGTGCACTTGCTGTAGTGTTTTAAAACAGATCTCAAGCGGTGAGTTCTTTTCACCCAGATTTCCACATGTTGTTTGCTTTAATGCAATCTGTGTCCCCCCAGGAAAAGGACACCAAGTGGCTGTGGCAGAACCGCAACACACGTGAAGCCGGGTCGGCAGCCGGGGCTCTTGGTGGCCGCATTCCAACTGCTTCCCAAGGGCACCACTTCCTGTCAGAGAGCAAAGGTGGTCTTCCTCAGCCCACCAGGCCCGCCGGGCTCCCTGGGGCCATGGCCACAGCCAGGTTTCCGGGGCTCCTTCCAGAGCCTCGGGCCACACGGCTGGTCTTATTAATAGCAGGCTGTAGTAGTAGCAGAAACCCGAGCAGAGCGTTAGGGAGGTGAGTCACACAGGCGGGCCCAGGTCTGGCTGGAGCTGACCAGTGTAAGGCAATCTGCCACTCGGAACCTCAGTTTCCTACTCCATAAACTGGGAATAAATCCGGGCACTCTGGGGGCTGGGAGGGTCCAGGACACACCCTTCTAAACAGGGCCAGGGTGAGGCAAAGCTTCAGGACACGAGAGGACCTCTCTCCCCAGTGCATCTCCCAGCCCAGAGAGGAGCTGGTCAGGACCCTGGGTCTGAGGGAGGAGGCTGGGCCCGGACGCCTGGGTCTGAGGGAGGAGGCTGGGGGATGGACCCTGGGTCTGAGGGAGGAGGCTGGGCCCGGACGCCTGGGTCTGAGGGAGGAGGCTGGGCCCGGACCCCTGGGTCTGAGGGAGGAGACTGGGGGATGGACCCTGGGTCTGAGGGAGGAGGCTGGGCCTGGACCCTGGGTCTGAGGGAGGAGGCTGGGCCTGGACCCTGGGTCTGAGGGAGGAGACTGGGGGATGGACCCTGGGTCTGAGGGAGGAGGCTGGGCCTGGACCCTGGGTCTGAGGGAGGAGGCTGGGCCTGGACCCTGGGTCTGAGGGAGGAGGCTGGGCCTGGACCCCTGGGTCTGAGGGAGGAGGCTGGGCCTGGACCCTGGGTCTGAGGGAGGAGGCTGGGCCTGGACCCTGGGTCTGAGGGAGGAGGCTGGGGCTGGACCCCTGAGTCTGAGGGAGGAGGCTGGGCCTGGACCCTGGGTCTGAGCGAGGGGGCTGGGCCTGGACCCCTGGGTCTGGGGGAGGAGGCTGGGCCTGGACCCCTGGGTCTGAGGGAGGAGGCTGGGCCTGGACCCTGGGTCTGAGGGAGGAGGCTGGGCCTGGACCCCTGGGTCTGAGGGAGGAGGCTGGGCCTGGACCCTGGGTCTGAGGGAGGAGGCTGGGCCTGGACCCCTGGGTCTGGGGGAGGAGGCTGGGCCTGGACCCCTGGGTCTGGGGGAGGAGGCTGGGCCTGGACCCTGGGTCTGGGGGAGGAGGCTGGGCCTGGACCCTGGGTCTGGGGGAGGGGGCTGGGCCTGGACCCCTGGGTCTGAGGGAGGAGGCTGGGGGATGGACCCTGGGTCTGAGGGAGGAGGCTGGGCCTGGATCCTGGGTCTGAGGGAGGAGGCTGGGCCTGGACCCTGGGTCTGAGGGAGGAGGCTGGGCCTGGACCCCTTGGTCTGGGGGAGGAGGCTGGGGCTGGACCCCTGAGTATGAGGGAGGAGGCTGGGCCTGGACCCTGGGTCTGAGGGAGGAGGCTATGAGTCTAGATCTTGGGTCTGAGGGAGGAGGCCGGGGCCTGGACTCTAGGCATCACAGAGCAGAGCTTTGGTTGGGGTCTCCTGTGATCTGACCACCAGGACTCCCTGCACCTAGTAGAAACTGGAAAGCACTGAGTTCCGGCCTCTTGGCCTCTGGCCCAAGCAAAGGCTGTGAATGGGCCTCTCCCTCCCTTGTCCTCTGCCCTCAGGCCTGGCCCTTGGGGGTTCACAATATGTTTTGTCCCCTCTGTCCTGGGACCAGCGCCCAGAGTCCAAGCTGGTCTAAGTTTGGAAGGGGGAGGGAGGGGGCAGCGGGTCAGGGGGGTGAGGGAGGGGTGTGGGGGACAGGATGTCTCTGTCTCTGTGCTGTCACACACACCTCTGCCTAGAGAAAGGGAGGGACAAAGGCTCTCTGAGAATCTGAACAAAGAGAGGAGGAGAGAGAGGCAGAGTCTCCCGAGAGGGCAGAGGAGGGAGCCGAGGGCAGAGTGGGCGCAGCAGGAGACCTGGTGGCCAACAGGGCAGAGTGTGGACGAAGGCAGAGGGCTGGGGCAGAGGCAGTGAGGGAGGCGACTCCAGAGACCCCGGAGTGTCAGGGGGAGCCGAGGGACCCCGAGAGTGACAGAGAGAGGAGGGGAGAGGGAGGGAGGGCTGTTCACGGGAAGGAGAGACTGCCAGGGGACCCGAGGAGTGGAGGCTGGGAGGGAGCCAAGGAAAGAGACTGGACCACGCGAGGGTGACAGGAAGAGGGAGCCGCCAGGAGACCTCAGGCACACGGGGGGCCGGCGAGGACCCAGGGGCGGGCACCAGGTGCTGGTCGCCCTCTGGGGAGTGCAGACAGGGGTGTCTGTCTGCCCAGGTCAGCCATCACCAGGCGGCCCCGAGATGGAGCTCAGGGCCCCTGAGACCCCCGTGGATGGGGACCCAGAGGTGAGATGGGAGAGACAGGAGGTGACAGAGGGACAGAAAATCACAAGAGAGACCGCCACCCCGAGGGAGGGAGAGTAACCCAGACCCAAGCAGACCCAGAGGAAGGGCCTGAGGGACAGCGGGGTCACACAGGCAGTCAGGCAGAGAGAAGGTGCACGTGGGGTCCTGCGGACCGAGGGCACAGCCCCAGGTGGGGCTGGGGGCTCCTGCTGCCTCCCACAGATGGGGACAGGCAGGGCCTTGAGACAATGACCCGTAACCCACCAGGACACAAAAACAGGTGGCCTGAGTCTGGGTGAGTCATTGTGACTCACCCTCCTCTCTGGGGACAGTGACCCCGGTCCCCTGTCCCCAAGTGCAGTCCTGGGCTGGGCCTCCAGCTCCCTGCTGGGCTGTTCTCCTGGGACCCCAACTCACCCCCCAACCCTGCCCCTCTCTGGCAGGAGGACACGGCTGCAGCTCTCCAGCGGCTGGTGGAGCTGACCGCTACTAGGGTGACCCCAGTGAGAAGCCTGCGTGTCCAGTATCGCCTCATCCGAAAGCTGGGCTCCGGCTCCTACGGCCGGGTGCTGCTTGCCCAGTCTCGGCAAGGGGGTGAGTCCAGCCACCGAGGGCAGGCTCCACACTCCCCCATGATTCCAGCCTCGGGAAGCCAGCATTCAGGTGGGGCTGAGGGGGTCTCAGAAAGTTCAGAGTTCTGTGGTCTTCTGAGAAGGAGGTGGCCCAGCGAGGCCAAGTGGCCAACTCAAGGTCCCACAGCAAGGCAGGAGTGCACTTGATTGGCAATCAAGCCACTGCCATGTCCCTTTATGCAAGAGAAAACAGAGGCCACTCTCAGAGAGGGTGAGGCCATGAAGCCCCACACAGCAGGCCAAGGCCGAGCAGGAAGGGTCCTCGGGAAGGCCTCTCCATCACGCTTCACAGGTGGAGAAAGTCTGGGGCTCGGAGAGGCTGCGGGTCCTGCCCAGGTCCCTCCCCAGGACCAGTGCCCTGAGCGCCCCTCGGGCCCTGTCTCCCTGGCAGGACCTGCGGTGGCTCTCAAGCTCCTCCGTCGGGACTCCGTCCTGAGAGCCACTTTCCTGAGGGAGTTCTGCGTGGGGCGCTGCGTGTCCTCCCACCCCGGCCTGCTGCAGACCCTGGGCGGGCCCCTGCAGACGCCTCGGTTTTTCGCCTTCGCCCAGGAGTACGCTCCCTGCGGGGATCTCAGCAGGATGCTGCAGGAAAAGGTGAGGCAGGCGACGGGGGCTGTTTGTCCCACGCCCCAGCCCGCCCCCAGCCCCTCCTCTGTCTCCAGTGCTGATCCCAGGTCAGTGCTCAAGCCAGGTCCACCCTGAGTCAAACCACCTCCCCATTTCTAACTCTCCATGCAAGTTCCATGCCCAACCCCAAGGCGGATCCTTCCAGCCATCCCAGCCCTGTGTGGAGGGGCAGGAGCTGGGTGGGGGCTGAGGATGCCCTGGGACTGCTGAAGGGCTGGGACAGAGACAGCCTGGGGATCCTAGTCGGCGCTGGGATTATGTGGGGGTGAGGCAGTCAAGGTAGGGCTGGCTGCAGACTGGGCACGGAGAGAAGGAAGGGTGGGCATGGTGGGGTGGCCCCGGCAGGCAGAGGCGGCTCAAGATGTGTCCATGATGGAGTTGGGTGTGGGTTGTAATGGGGCCTCTAGAATGAGACCAGGTCAGGACTGCCCTCCTGAGTTTGAGGACTAGAGGGCAGGGATATTTCTAGGACCTTGGATTTGAGAGATAAATGAAAGGAAGGTGGGGGGAGAAAGAGATGGAGGATAGGTGTTGGATGTACACACTCTTGAGGGAAGGAATGGTGGATGGGTGGATGGATGGATGGGTGGAATGGTGGACAGAAGTAACAAGGATGCAAATATGGATGAATAGACAGATTGATGGATGGAAAGATGGATGGGTGGGTGGATGGATGGATGGACGGGTGGGTGGACAGATGGGTGGATGGATGCATGGATGGATGCATGGATGGATGCATTGATAGATGGCTGAGGGGCTGGTTGGCTGGCTGGATGATGGATGGATGGAAGGATGGATGGGTGGGTGGACAGATGGATGCATGGATGGATGCAGGGATGGATGCATTGATAGATGGCTGAGTGGCTGGTTGGCTGGATGGATGATGGATGGATGAAAGGATGGATGGGTGGGTGGATGGATGGATGCATGGATGGATGCAGGGATGGATGCATTGATAGATGGCTGAGTGGCTGGTTGGCTGGATGGATGATGGATGGATGAAAGGATGGATGGGTGGGTGGATGGATGGATGCATGGATGGATGCAGGGATGGATGCATTGATAGATGGCTGAGTGGCTGGTTGGCTGGATGGATGATGGATGGATGAAAGGATGGATGGGTGGGTGGATGGATGGATGCATGGATGGATGCAGGGATGGATGCATTGATAGATGGCTGAGTGGCTGGTTGGCTGGATGGATGATGGATGGATGAAAGGATGGATGGGTGGGTGGATGGATGGATGCATGGATGGGTGGGTGGACAGATGGGTGGATGCATGGATGGATGCTTTGATAGATGGCTGAGTGGCTGGTTGGCTGGATGGATGATGGATGGATGAAAGGATGGATGGGTGGGCGGATGGATGGAATGGATGGGTAGGTGGATGTACAGATGGATGGGTGGGTGGATGGATGGATGGATGGATGGATGGATGGATGGGTGGACAGATGGGTGGATGGGTAGGTGGATGTATGTATGGATGGGTGGGTGGATGGATGGATGGATGGATGGGTGGGTAGACAGATGGGTGGATGCATGGATGGATGCTTTGATAGATGGCTGAGTGACTGGTTGGCTGGCTGGATGATGGACGGATGAATGGATGGATGGATGAAAGGAAGCAAGGATGAATGGGTGGTATTGGATATTAAATAATTGAACTATTGGATCATTGGCTGGATGTGGAATGGACACATTGTTCAACACTGTTGGGTGGAGGGATGGTTTCATGGATAGGTGGCTGGCTTTGCTGACTTGCCTCTGCCTATCTGGGAGCAAAGATTAACCAATCAATTGAAGCAATCTGGAGGGTAAGAATAGGATCTGGGTTGGAGATAGGGTGGAGATTAGCATTGAACTAAGATCAGGGGTAGGTAGGAGTTTCGGGTTCCCCCTGGGGAAGAACTGGGTAGTCAGAGGAGACTTAAGAAATCCTCAGAGTGGGTTTGAGTGTTAGGAGGATTTTCAAAGGAAGCTAAAGGAAAGGGCTTCTGGTTAGAATTGGGGCTCTAGTGGGGAAAATGTCCGGGGGCTGGTGGAGGCCAAGTCCGGATAAGGGTGTGCTGGAGGATGGCAGGACCTTGGGGGATGTTGTGGGGACACTGAGGTGGCTGTGGTCCCAGGATTCCCCACCCCTTCAGAACAGTCCAGAACCATTTTGAGGTGGAGGAAGAAGGACCCAGGCAGCCTGACTCTCCTCCTCTGCCTGGCCACAGGGCCTCCCGGAGCTGATGGTGAAGCGGGTGGTGGCCCAGCTGGCTGGGGCCCTGGACTTCCTCCACGGCCGTGGGCTGGTGCACGCAGACGTCAAGCCGGACAACGTGCTGGTCTTCGATCCTCTCTGCAGCCGCGTGGCCCTAGGCGACCTGGGTCTGACCCGGCCAGAGGGCAGCCCAACCCCGGCCCCACCAGTGCCCCTACCCACTGCGCCTCCTGAACTGTGCCTCCTGCTGCCACCCGACACCCTGCCCCTGCGGCCATCTGTGGACTCGTGGGCCCTGGGGGTGCTTCTCTTCTGTGCTGCCACTGCTTGTTTCCCCTGGGATGTGGCACTGGCTCCTGACCCTGAGTTTGAAGCCTTTGCCGGCTGGATGACCACCAGGCCCCAGCCCCCTCGGCCACCAGCACCTTGGGACCAGTTTGCACCCCCAGCTCTGACCTTGCTCCAGGGCCTTCTGGACCTGGACCCCGATACCAGGAGCCCCCCGCTGGCTGTTCTGGACGTCCTGGGCGATGGCTGGGGGTTGGAGGGGGATGCAGAGGGACCCAGAGACCTGGGGAGGCTGTCCTCTGAGGAGGTGGCAGAAGGGGAGGAGGGAGGGTCAAGCCTGGAGGAGTGCACAGACCAGGAGGAGGAGGGAGGCAGAGTCGGCAGAGGCATGGGGACAGATGGGGAGCTCCCCGACCAGGCGACTGAGGCAGGTGGCCCAACCTGGGCCAAAGGCCCCCCCCTGTGCCCATGGCCACCTGGAAGGCAAGACAGCTGCTCGGGGGAGGACAGAAGAGAAACACATTGCACCTTCCCCTAGTGAAGGCCAGTCCCCATCCCAATGGGGGACCAGGGTCCAGGCCAGTCCCCACCCGAACGGAGGACCAGGGTCCAGGCCAGTCCCCACCCGAACGGAGGACCAGGGTCCAGGCCAGCCTCCTCCCTCAGGCCCGGGGTCCAGGCCCAGCCTCCTCCCTCAGGCCCAGGATCTGGACCCCAGCATCCTCTCTCAGGCCCAGGAGTCCCAGCTCTGTCCTCCCACAAGGACCCTTCCTTTGTCCTAGGTGTGTCTTCTCCGAGGACGTCCTGTCTGCTCTATAGATATGTTTCTGTACTCTGGGGACATGTTGAAAGCTTGTCATGGGTTCTTGTGGGACCACTCCTCTCTGAAGACTATAGGTGTCACCCAGTGTCCATGGTACCAAATCTGAACTTGGAGGATCCGACCTGACGTCTCTGGCTTCCACCTCTCCCCTTCCTCTGGCTCTGAGTGAGGTGGTGGAAGTCGCTCATCCATTCTGGACCTAATCTACTCCCTCTCCCCCTCCCCCTCGCCGCCCCTGCCCCCTCCTGCTCCGGGTCCACAGCACCCCACCCCGGGCTTCTCTGGACTTGGTGACAGAGCCATCTGTGTCTGTCTTTTCTTTGCCTCCCATCTTACACTGTCCAGGGTGGACTTGATCTTCCATTTTCAGATCCTTCCGGATTCTCCTCCCATAGAGCACGGAGCACCAAGGCTAGTATTGTCCAGCTGTCTTCCAGAGACCCGTCCATTCCACGAGCCAGGCTCCCCTTCTCCCCCACAGCGCCTCCCTAGGAGGACAGCTCTGCCTGCAGCACCAGCCAGGCCCATCCTGTCCCCGCAGAGGGTCAGGGGCCTGACACTGGCCCTGCACAGGAACTCACGCTCTCTGGATGCAAAAGTGAGTCCACTGAACAGGACCCTGGGACAGGAAAAAGCCCCTGGTGGCAGCCCTGGTGAAAGGATCCTGTGGAGCGTTAAGGGACGTTGGGAGAGCTGGCTGGGTGACGGGCACACAGGCACTGCAGATTTTGCCACTGTTCCATGAATCTAGAACTACAGCAAAATAAAATGCTCATTAAAAAAATAAAGCAGGGCTGGGCTGCGGCTCCGTGGTAGAGCGCTCTCCTAGCAGGTGCCTTGGAGGCCTGGGTTCGCTCCTCAGCACCACATGAAAATAACTAAATAAAATAAAGGTACTGCGTCCATCTACAACTAATAAATAAACTTAAAAAAATAAAGTAACTCCCATTATCCCAAGGCCATATCCCCAAGAGAAGGGAGCAGCTGTCCCAGAGGCCGGAGGGACCTGCCCTCCCAGTGGCTCTGCCACCTGCTCCCCCTGGCGCTGAGGTCATGTCTCACTGCATCGTTCTGGAATCCTGTTGTCTCATCCTTTCCCCAAGCGGGACCCCGACCTCAGAACACGTGTGTCTGGCCTGTCAATAGAGGGTGGGAGGTCACAGCTGGGGTGGTGTGTCATGTGGGGTCAGATTTAAAAGATTTCATCCTCAAAGAATAACTGGGTCCCTGGGCTGAGGAACTGGGGCTGGGGTCGGTTCTGCCGCATCTGAGGGAGGAGGCTGGGCCCGGACCCCGGGCCTGAGGGAGGAGGCTGGGCCCGGACCCCGGGCCTGAGGGAGGAGGCTGGGCCCGGACCCCGGGCCTGAGGGAGGAGGCTGGGCCCGGACCCCGGGCCTGAGGGAGGAGGCTGGGCCCGGACCCCGGGCCTGAGGGAGGAGGCTGGGCCCGGACCCCGGGCCTGAGGGAGGAGGCTGGGCCCGGACCCCGGGCCTGAGGGAGGAGGCTGGGCCCGGACCCCGGGCCTGAGGGAGGAGGCTGGGCCCGGACCCCGGGCCTGAGGGAGGAGGCTGGGCCCGGACCCCGGGCCTGAGGGAGGAGGCTGGGCCCGGACCCCGGGCCTGAGGGAGGAGGCTGGGCCCGGACCCCGGGCCTGAGGGAGGAGGCTGGGCCCGGACCCCGGGCCTGAGGGAGGAGGCTGGGCCCGGACCCCGGGCCTGAGGGAGGAGGCTGGGCCCGGACCCCGGGCCTGAGGGAGGAGGCTGGGCCCGGACCCCGGGCCTGAGGGAGGAGGCTGGGCCCGGACCCCGGGCCTGAGGGAGGAGGCTGGGCCCGGACCCCGGGCCTGAGGGAGGAGGCTGGGCCTGGACCCTGGGCCTGAGGGAGGAGGCTGGGCCTGGACCCTGGGCCTGAGGGAGGAGGCTGGGCCTGGACCCTGGGTCTGAGGGAGGAGGCTGGGCCTGGACCCTGGGTCTGAGGGAGGAGGCTGGGGGATGGACCCCGGGTCTGAGGGAGGAGGCTGGGCCTGGACACTGGGGTCTGAGGGAGGAGGCTGGGCCTGGACCCCTGGGTCTGAGGGAGGAGGCTGGGCCTGGACACTGGGGTCTGAGGGAGGAGGCTGGGCCTGGACTCCTGAGTTTAGGGAGGTAGATGGGGCCTGGAAACTTGGGTCAGAGGAACCCACTGAGCCCCATGGGTCTGACTTTTGTCTGACCACAGCCAGTTCTGGGATTCAACGCACGATGTCGCTCTGGCCCAATGGGTGCAGAAGGGGCGGGGCTGGGGGTGGGGCCTTGCGACCCCCAGGTTGGGGGCGGATCCTGCTCCCTGTGCAGGCAGCTGCTGGCATGGGCTCTAAGCACTGGCACTCACCACTGCAGGCTACGGAAGGGTCTGGCAAACCTCGGAGAAGGTGAGGTCCATGGGCTCTGAACCCAGGTCAGGGGGAGGCAAGGTTAAATGGCCTAGGGGGGCAGCACCTGAACAGGAAGGGAGTCTGTGGCCAAAGTCCTGTGGCCCTCAGCAGAGCACAGGCTGCACCTTGAGGCTGCAGAGCGAATGAGAGCTGGAGGCTAGATTTGAGGGTCACTATGTGTGTGACTTGTATAAGGTCCCAGAAGAGGAGTGGGCTGGGCCTGGACCCTGCACCCTGGACCCTGGGTCTGAGGGAGGGGGCTGGGCCTGGACCCTGGGCCTAGGGAGGAGGCTGGGCCTGGACCCCGGGTCTGAGGGAGGAGGCTGGGCCTGGACCCTGGGTCTGAGGGGGGAGGCTGGGCCTGGACCCTGGGTCTGAGGGAGGAGGCTGGGCCTGGACCCCTGGGTCTGAGGGAGGAGGCTGGGCCTGGACCCCTGGGTCTGGGGGAGGGGGCTGGGCCTGGACCCTGGGTCTGGGGGAGGGGGCTGGGCCCACCGTGGGCCTGAGGGAGGGGGCTGGGCCCACCGTGGGTCTGAGGAGCGAGGTGGGCTCTAGGAGCTGGTCTGCAGCTGTGCAGGGCAAGGGGATCCACTGTCCTGCAGGCTGGCTCCCAGGCCCTCTGTGAGCCCCACCCATTCTGCCTCTGGGGGCTCAAACCACCTGTTTGCTCTTAGGAGGCTGAGGCTGCTCATCCACCCCCAGGGCCCAAGTCTGTTTGCTTTGGAAACTAGGTGGGGGCCTCTCAAGTTATCTGGTTCATCTTTCACCCTCAGGCCATAGGGTGGCAGGGAGGGTGTGGGGGCAGAGGACATTTGTGACCTGTCACTTGACCTCACCTTGCAGCAGCAACTCCTCTCTGCAGTCCTTTCATAAGGATGGACACCGTCCACACTGGGAAGTGACAGTAACCCTCCAGTCAAGACCCCTAGGGTCCAGGCCCAGCTTTTCCCCTCAGACCCAGGGGTCCAGGCCCAGCCCCCTCCCTCAGACCCAGGGTCCAGGCCCAGCCTCCTCCCCCAGACCCGGGGTCCAGGCCCAGCCTCCTCCCTCAGACCCAGGGGTCCAGGCCCAGCCTCCTCCCTCAGACCCAGGGGTCCAGGCCCAGCCCCCTCCCTCAGACCCAGGGTCCAGGCCCAGCCTCCTCCCCCAGACCCAGGGTCCAGGCCCAGCCTCCTCCCTCAGACCCAGGGTCCAGCCCCAGCCTCCTCCCCCAGACCCAGGGTCCAGGCCCAGCCTCCTCCCTCAGACCCAGGGGTCCAGGCCCAGCCTCCTCCCTCAGACCCAGGGGTCCAGGCCCAGCCCCCTCCCCCAGACCCGGGGTCCAGGCCCAGCCCCCTCCCCCAGACCCGGGGTCCAGGCCCAGCCTCCTCCCCCAGACCCGGGGTCCAGGCCCAGCCTCCTCCCTCAGACCCGGGGTCCAGGCCCAGCCCCCTCCCTCAGACCCGGGGTCCAGGCCCAGCCTCCCCCCTCAGATCTAGGGTCCATCCCCCAGCTTCCTCCCTCAGACCCGGGGTCCAGGCCCAGCCTCCTCCCTCAGACCCGGGGTCCAGGCCCAGCCTCCTCCCTCAGACCCGGGTGTTTGGGCGCAGCCTCTCCACTGGCCCTCATGGCGGCTACAGCTTGGTCTCTCTGTGTCTCTTGTTGCAGAAATGCCAGGCGAGCAGCCTGTAGCGGGGCCAGTGGAGGCTGGGGCTGCAGAAGATGGGACTGAGGAAGGCCTCGGGGGCCTCACCCCAGAGGAACTCCAGCAGGGCCGGCAGGCCACCCTGGCCCTAGAGGACATGATGGCACTGAGCGCCCAGACCCTGGTCCATGCTGAGGTGGACCAGCTCTACCAGGAGGTGCGTCCCCTGGGCCAGGGCCGTTTTGGTCGCGTCTTACTGGTCACCCATCGTCAGAAAGGTATGGGGATGGGTCAGGATCATAGGGACGGGACAGCATCATGGGGACGGGCAGGGGAGCCACCTCGGCTGCGGAGTTGGGTGACCGAGTTAGGTCTCCCTCCGCCTGGTCCAATGTGGGCATCCCAGGAGCTCCTTTGGAAAGAGGAATGTGTGCTGCCCTCTGACCTCAGGCAACGCCCCCCTCCTGGCCCCAGTGGATGCCCAGAACCCTGAGGCACCTGCGCCCGTGCATGCGATGCTCTTTCCTGTGCATGCAGACTGTGATCGGGTGGTTTATCATGTCGGCACAGTCAGGTGACCAGTAGTAACTGGCAGCAGTTGTCGGGGCATTCTCTGACTGTCGGCATCACACTCGTCAATAAATAGTGTTACTCGAACACAGCGGCAGCCATGTTAGTCTATCTGATGCCCGAGATGGCCACCAAGTGTCGGGTGGATGGGGGAGTACGCGGTGTGCACCTGCAGATGATGTGCCGTGGGGACTCAGTGGACGATCTAAAACCCTTGAAGTTTCATTTACTT